GCCAGCTGAAGGGTTTCCACCTTGGGTGTGTGTGTGTCTGTCTGTCTGTCTGATTTTAACTGTCTATGAACTGTAAGAGCCCATGACAACTCCCACTCAGGAAAAGGTCTCAACAAAGACAGAGTCACTCCCAGAGCTTTTTATCCCCAGGGGTCATCAGTCTTCCTTAAGTTGATTGACTGGTTTGAGTGACAGTCTCTTGGGGCAGTCCCACCTCAACCAACACTCCACCTGTCTACCCTCCATACTGGATACCAGAACATCACACTGCTGCAGTATCTGGATGTGATTCCACAGATGGTGGGAGCCAGTGGAAGGTGTGATGTGGTCAGACAGGTGCGTGGAGACTTTACCCTTTGAAAGATGATCAGATGGATGAAACTGTGGAGAGAACAGTGGAGCAGCTGGGGGAGAGGTGATGGAGAGAAATAGTGAGGTCTCAGAGATCTGGAGACTTTTGTCTTTGGAAATAATTGGTGTGGGGAGTCCTATTTTGCCCCCAAAACCTTCTGTAGGTTCCCCATCATCCATGCAATCAAGTCTGGACTCCTTGGCCTGGCATTCAAGGCCTCCACCCAGCCTGGTCTCCCACTCTCAGCATCACACAGCAGCCAGCCTGACCTACTGGCAATTCTCAGCTATGCCCTATATGTTCTCACTCCCATATCTTTTCTCATTCTGGGCCCTCAGCCTCAAACACCCTAGCCTTTTCTGCACAGACTCAAAACACCCCATCATCCAAGGCTGCCTCTAAAAACCACTTTGCCCATATTGCCAGGATAAAAGTAAAACCTTCTCTTCTTTGGAATGCATATGTTTTCTTTATTTCTTGGGGCTGCTGTCAGTTCTTTTTTCTTTTTTTACTCTAATAGACAATGACAACTTTTAAGAATAATTGTTTTCATAGTTTTATAATACAACAAAATGTTTGGAATAGAGGGTTTATAGAGAACAAAATTCATAAGCTACTTTCTAACACAGTGAGAAAATTCATCTTTTCTTTCTGTGCATCTAATTTTAGATGGAGTGTGACCTCTCTGTGCCTCATTATTTTATCTGTAAATGGGAATATTAATGGTGGTACCCACATCAGAGGCTTGTTCTGAGCATTAAATGATTAAATACATGTAAAGTGCTTAGAATAGTACCTGGCACTTGCATTAGTAATTATAATATGCACAGTGTTATATTTTTGCCCGGCATTTTGAGAAGATAGAGGAGAGGCCTCAGGCCTGACTCATCTGTTTTCCTGCCGTCACTAAACCCCACAACCCCCCTCCCTCCAGGCCCCTGGCAGGCCTGGCACACTGGCTGAGTGAATGAGCAGGAGCAGAGAGGGCAGAGCCTTTGCCTGGGATCTGCCCCTCTTCTGTCTGGACTCATTCATCTGTCAATTGGCCATTATGCTCCTGGATAATGGAAAACAGAACCAGTTAATTAGCAAAACTGCTGGCGGGAAGAAGGGCACGTGACAGGCGGTCTTTCCCCAGGTCAGAACCTTGCCCGTGGCAGCCCGTCCAGCATGTGTCCTGTGCAGTGCTGTGTTCATCCTCGATGTGTTCTTGGTCCCTCTGCAGTGGACTCTTTGGGCCTGCTTTGGCCAGTTACCTGGGCTTGATTTGTTCTGTCCCAGGGAGGAATGCCTCCCCTGCCGATTTCATGGACGTGCTGAGAAGTAAACTAGACCACAAACAGGAACTTAAGAGTAGGAAATGTTAAACAAATCTAGAGCTCAGTACACACCCCCTCAACTGTGTCTACAAAGTAGGGAGGGGACAGCTGAGCTAACACCTACAGCAGGGAAGCCCAGCCGCTAAGTCAAGGGCTATCCTGTTTGCACGACTTCTCAAAGCCAATTGCACAGGTGAACTTACATTCTTTACTCAAAGGTCCCAAAACCATAGGGGATGTTCCTTAACCTCTCTGGGCCTCAAGTTTTCTCATCTATAAAATGGGGGGAGGGACAATTTTTCTAAGTAGCTCTACATGGGATTTGTGAACTGCAAAGAACTATTTAAACATTAGAAAATATTGTTGTTAGTGATACTGTCATCTAGGAAAGGCAGGATAGGAGAACCCTGGGAGATCTTGCAAAGCAGATGTGGTGGTACCAGCCCCACAAAACTAGCAAAAGAGGCCTACTCCCATTGACATCCCTGGAACTCCCAGGACAGGTCTTACCAGAAGGTTCTAAGACCTTGTGCCTCTCCCTGAGCCTGCTACTCATACCCTGTGCCTGCTCTCAAGTAAACCTCTCAGAAGGGACTGAAGAATGAGAGAGGCCAAATGACAAGGCCCTAGGGAGGGAGGATGGGGAGAGAGTTCTGTCCCAGGACAGAGGAAGAAAGGGGGTGGCCAGCAGACTAAGGAGGGCACAGTGAGGGGTGGGGTTCAGTGAGGGCCTACACTCAGTGGCTCACTCAGCTAGGATGTTAGGAGGCAAGAAGGGCTCCCTGCAGAAGGCAGTGCCCAAACTGAGCTACTTTATTTTGTCAATAGCCGTCCTCATTTTTGTGTCCAGATAAGCGGAAGCCCCCTCTCTCACTGGCTCCAAACAACCTTGGAATGCCCTTACGTTTTGCTAAAGACTATCTTTTATGTGTCAGGCATTTGTGTGGCTGAGGGCTGTGGCGGGTGAGTTGGGGATTTCAGGGACAGGGACAGGAGGTGGGAGGCCACTGGCTTCGGGAGAGGAGCGTGGGGAGAGCACAGAGGTTTGAGTGAAGGGATGTGGGGGTGTTTGACTCTGTGGGGGTGGGGGGAATGACATGAGCCTCTCCCCCATCACTCCAGAAAAGCCTCCTGTACTACCTGGATGACTTCAAGGCTGCCAGGGTCACGTTAGGGAACCGAATGGCATTACTGAGATTCTAGATTAGCGGATTGCTGGAGATTTGTTTCTGAAGATTCTTTTCCCTCCGTCGCTGTGGTCTGCCTTTCTTGTCCTGTATCTCTTTCATGTGTCACAACTGCTTTTCTCCCTGCAAGAGGAGGTGTTGGTATGTGAGTGTCAGACTGAGCTCCCCATCTAACAGTGGTGACCGTGTGTGTTGGGGGGGGGGGGGATGACAACGGGACAACAGGAGCTTCAAAGACAGAATCTCACTTAATCCTCTCCTCAAAGCTGGGATATTCTTTCCTCGTTGGATAGATAAGGACCTTGAGGCTCAGTGAGCTTGGTCATGCCTGGATTCAGACCTGTCTGTGTGAATCCAAAGCTCATGTCATGTTTTTAACACTCTGCCATCCAAGTCCTGGCCTCTCTCTCTCTCTCTCTCAGGGCAGGGGAAGAATGAGCCAAGTGAATGGAATCCAGCCAGGTGAGGGCTGGATTAGGGATGCAATGAGGGAGGGTAACTGAGCCTCTATGCAGAAGGGGCATTGTATGAGCCAGTATGGAATGAAAAATAGTGGGGGTTGGGGGGGGCACCACCCTGGAACCGGTACCCTGGAGCTGGGCTTTTAGAGGGTGGCTTCTGGGCGTGTTTACTAAAAAGCAAAATTGCAAAGCACCGGTTACCTCAGCGAATTCTCCCAAAGCCGGATAACACAGTTATCACTCTCATCTTGGAGGAGAGGTTCAGAGAGGGGGCAGACAGGCACCAGGCCATACAATGACTTAGGGACCGTGTGTGATGATGGCACAACTGCAGCTTCAAAACTCATGCGCTTGCCTTAAGTCCAGCTGCCTTTTGGAAAAAAGCATCATTCTCTGACATGCCCGCAGGGTGCAAACATCTGGCTGACGGCTGGGCTCCTGAACCAAGAGCAGGGCCAGGACCACCAGGGGCCCTGCTGAGTGTAGGGGAGAGCTCTGCAAGATGGATGGGGAGCATCCGAGGCGGAGTGCTGCCGCCAGGCAGTGATTGATGACTGATCGGCAGCAGAAGAGCAAGGCGGCCTCCGGCCTCCCGAGGCTGGAGGCTGCGGAGAGGAGGGCGAGGGGAAGCTATGAATATTTTAGAGAGGCAGCCAGGGCTGAAGGAAGGAGGGGTATGGGGGAGGGAGGCAGTCGGGTGGGCAGGGGGAGGCAGCTCAGGGACTGGGACAGCGGGGTTAAGGAAAACCTTATCAGTGAGGGGGGCTCAGTGAGGGAAAAGGAAGGCTGGAGAGGATGAGCGGGCTTAGAGAGGGGAGAGGGGCTGGAGAATGGGGCAGTGAGGGTAAAGGGGACAGGGATCCGTGAAAGGGGCTCAATGGGGGGAAAGAGGTCTGGATTAGGGGTGCAATGAACGGGACTAAGGGACAGAGTCTGTGCGGGAAGGGGACTCAATAGGGGAGGGCCTCACTCAGGAGGAGGGGGCTCACTGATGAGAGAGGGAGAACTTGTAGAGGGAACTTAGACGGGGAGGGCTCCCTGCTCTTTTTTCTCTTTTGCAAAATATGGCACCGTTAAGGCTGGGAGTCCTGTAAGGAAGGCTCCCCGCGGGATTCCCCAAATCCCCGCCTGACCGTCTAGGGGTCGAGGCTGCAGACCCCGGAGCCGGCCGCACCCCGCCTCCCTTGGACCTCTGGGGCG